GTCTGACATATGCGTACCATAACTAACCCAGTTAGTTATTCACTCATAGGTATTACCCAAGAAGAACAAGAACTTATGTCTGTACAGCCTTGTATATGAATGCTCAATATAGCTGTGTTCATAACAGTTAAAAACTAGAGACAACTAAATGTCTATTAATTGGTACTAGTATACTCAAAATGTATTACATATGTAAAATAGAACATTATTAAGAAATATTAAAAAAGGAACAGACTCCTGAAATATAATCAACCTTACATGAAACCACAAAGCATTACACTGCATGAAAGAAATCAGGCACAAAAGACTACATACTGTATAACTCCATTTACATCACATCTGGAACAGGTGAAAACACAGAAATCAGATCAAGGGTGGTCAACACGGTGGATTTTTCCTATGAAGGGACCAAAAGGAATTTAACTGAGAGGTAGAAACACTTTACCATCATTGTGGTGCAGGCTGCATGAATATATGCATTTGTGAAAATTCACCAAGTTGTATGTTTAAAATTGGTAATTTTTATTTTTCATAAATTGTAGCTCCAAGTTTGCAAAGAAAAAAAGAACAATGCTGGCCATCTACTAGGAGTGCGATCTTGAGGGCAACATTTTAAAAACTTGGAAATCTACAGGAATGGATTTTACCCTCTCCCAGTTATACAGGAGAAATCTGAGAACAGGACATTTTACAAACTCTGAGAAGAGAAAGCTTGGTCTCAAGTACTCAAAGGAGCAGGTCTAAGGTCCCCAATTGAGCTTTGTTTTCTCACTACTATTCCCTTTGGCTAAAGAAAAGATGGGGTGGCTTCTTACACTGGTAGGGACGGTAGATCAATTTAAACATTGTACTTATACCACAGAGTATGGAATTATTATCTTGGGAACAAATGGAAATATTTTAAATTTGGACAATGGGAAACAATAAGCCTAATTTCTATCTAGAAATATTAGCGTGCTAATAGTCTCATCATTCACAGCAGGAGGAAAACTAACTGCTTGTAACTAATGTGTGCAGCTTTTAAAAAATCCAACACAATGACTCATTATTTTTCATCACCTCTTTTCTTTCTTTTTTTCCCTGACACTAAGGATACAGTCCAGGGCCTTCACAGTAAGCTACAGCCTGTCCTTTTTTCAAATTTTGAGACAGGGTCTCTCTAAGTCACTAAGTTCCCCAGGACATACTCTAACTTACAATCCTTGTCTCTCAACCTTGCAGAGTGTTGGTTTTATATAGGCTGTGCCATGACACTTGGGCTCACAATCTCTTTCCTTATTCTCAGAGAGATTTTGTACAAGTATCTTTTATAGTACAAATTTCTCACCAATTCATGTAATCTTTTTATGACTTACTTTTCTTCTGTTACATTAAGTAAAATAAAATTAAGTATATTAAAAAAAGACTTAAAGAGGTTCTATCTGAATTTTATTTACTGATATATCTTATTTAATACTGGAAAGATGAGTGCTTATGAGATGCACCAGTACTTTACTACTAAGAAAGAAAAATCACTGCCACTGTAACTTTGACACAATGTGAAGATGCCATGGACTGTAAGATACAGATCAATTTAAAAGATGTCAAAAATGTGAAAAAGGTATGATTCAGACTCAGTGATACCCATCTCCATTTAGCCACTCCTCCATCTATCCATCCACACACAAACAGAAAGGTCCTCAGACTAAGGTTACTCAAGTTTAATGCAGGCTCCTTCTCAAAGGGATGATCTGAGGACATGTTTAAACTTTTATCTTTTCTACACTAAAAAATTCTTCACAATGAAGATGTATTTACAATAACAAATCAATGCTTCTTATTTAAGGGAAAAATTAATAGAAGTAAGTACATCAAGATGTTAGTATTGGATAATTCTGGGTATGACGATCACGGATTACTTTATTTTTCCTTTGTTCATTTCTCTACATTAAAACAATTCTCCAAATTAAAAAGTTAAACAAAGCAAGCAAAGATTTAAAAAAGTTGAGATGAACATCCTCAGACGTGAGACTTTTCTTAATGGCAGATGCCTCACCTCAGGATGACCAAAGGTCCTGGGTTCGCGCAGAACTGAAAGTCCTATGTCCCAGTTCCCCTACTACCTCTGTGATTCAGAATGGGGTGATGTCGAAGCAAAGATAATTTGACCTCAGAACAATGGTACAATTTTTTAGTGTGCCTAAGAATCCTCCAAGCGGTGTGTGAAATAAGAAGACTGTGGGGAGCTGCCACCACTCAAAGCTTATCGCAAAGAAAAAAGTGGAGAGAGGTACTCAGGCATCCCGTTCCTCTCCTCTGGGAAAACGCTAGTACTTCGGCTCAGATCAAAATCACATTTCATATCCCTCTGGGCACCCATTCTTCTAAGGAAAAGTCAAGCCTTTGAAATACAGAAATAGAAAAGGCCCTGCTATTATGCAGAAAGGACACAGATCTCTTCAATTCTTCCCATTCCTCACTTAGGTTCTACCATGCTCAAACAACTCTGTAGCAAACATCCTAGACATTTTAAAAAGGCCTACTATCCCCATCCTGCATATTTACTTCCATATGAATACAAGTCTCATGTTAATTCTCTCTTCCAAACATAATTCAAAAGAAATTGGTGTCTTTTATATAGCTTTTTGGTTTAACGACCTCCTTGTAAATCTGGCACACTACTTTACGTTGGCTGTTCTTCACTGACACCTGCATCAGGCTCCCATTTGCAGTGGCTCAGTACTTCTCAAACTCTAACATCCCCAAGAATCACCTGTGGATCTTGTAAACATGCAGATCAAGATTCAGCAGGCTGGGCATGGTGGCGTACACCTGTAATCCCAGCACTTGGGAGGCTGAGGCAGGAGGATTGCTGTGAGTTCAAGACCAGCCTGGGCTACACAGTGAGTTCCAGATCAGTCTCAACTACATAGTGAGACTCTGTCTCAAAAAACAAAAACAAAAACAACAACAAAAAAATGGATTCAGTGGGTCTGGGGTGGGACTCGTGATTCTGCATTTCTAAGGAAGGAGTCCAGGAGTTTACCCCAAAATGAAGTATTCAAGTATGCTGATTTTTTTTTTTAATCAAAAGCCCTTAGCAGCAGATTCTAAGAAAAGCTTTACTCTGCTATTCTTACATATGCCTGAAAGAGTAATCCTCTAAAGAAAAAAACATTTATCCTTGGTCCCTTCCCTGAGTTTTCATGATCTAAAATATCTACAGGAAGGAAGACTGAAAAATGTAACCACAATAGACAGATTTTGAAACAAGCTCTGTTCATCACCTAAGCCAGTGATGGCAAATCTTTTAGAGCTTTCAATGATACAAACAGGCTGCTGCAGTGCACGTCCCATAAGTTGCCTCCACTGGCCTAAGCCCATCCAATTCCCAAAGAAAGTTATTTACCAACTATCATCTGAACATTGGGCCCATTCATTAACCTAGAATCACATATTACCCCTCAGAACTGACACATTCTCCAGCTCCCTGAGAAAGAAGATTACGTAAGTATCTGGACCTGGGTTGTGAGGTGATCATACTCCTGTGACTGTCCCTCATGCACACTAAGCGATTCTGTATATCTTGTCTCCTATGTAACCATGTGTTGTCAGTTCATTCACAGAACCTTCATGGGGTGAAAGGGAAACTTTTACTTTGTCCCTATACTAAGAAACTCCCAAGGTGGGCCCAGGGTGCAGGTTCCTGAACCACGCTTGAGTAGTAAGGATAGCTGATTTGTGAAACATTGGCGCAGTAAGTCTGTGTTTGCCTATGATGAAATAAAAATAAAATAAGCACTTGTTTCTACCTCAGGGCCTAAGGTACAGTGCTACTTTTTCCTGAGGTCTGCAGGAAATGTGTGGTGTATCCCCCCACGTTGGGTAGGGAATCAATCAACAGGATGTAAAGCCCTTTTTACTGTAAATTCTTATGCCTGCTGTTTACTGAACTGCAAACCAGTGAACTTCTCAGCAGATCTACAGATACATAAAATAAAGTACATGTGTAGGAAGGGAAGTGTTTCAGCAAGTCAAGAAAATGATTTTACTTATAAAAATGAGTGGGGGTTTATTGAGAAAGTGCAAGTTGGCTAGCTTTGCAAGGGGGACCTTTTATTAAATCAAATCAGAAAACTGTTTTCATCTACAGAGAAGGAATTTTTAGCTTGAGGGGACAAGAAGAAACCAGGAGATAATGTTTTTACAGTTTTGAACTCAACTGAGCATAAAGCTTGGAGGGTGAATACCAAGAAGTAATTCTACATTTTGTTGTCCAACACCCAGAATGAAATAACTTCTCTGTTACTATTATTCACTGGAAAGAATAGTAAGAACCACTAGGATAAAACAAGAAAGTCTGAAGGACACACACAGCATTATTTTAAAAATCATGTTATATTATACATAATAGGAAAAAATGGACAAATACATAGCAAAAGACCCAGAAACTGTCACTGGATGGTGGAAATATGCGCACCTGCGTTTACTGCTTTAAAATGTTTTCTATAATGAAATGTATTGTTTTTATAATAAAAATAATACAACTTAGTTTTAAAAGCAGTCATGCTTTCAAATGGCAGTTCCTGCATATGTTCCCTAGGATTATGCACTTGCCTATTTTTTCCCTGGGTTCATACTGAGGCTGTGGTTCGTGTTAGTATTTAAATGACACAGGAGTGACTATAATCTTTACAGTCCCAGTCATTCTCCGTCATCAATATTTTCTATTTCACATACACTATCTACGACTGGCATTTATGAAGTTAAAAATGCTTCCAGGATAAAACAAGAAGATGCTTTGTGTCCGCCAAAATTTTCTGTGCCCACTGTGGAACCCCCCCGCCCAGCCCCAGGGCCTGCACACTCTCCGGAGGGCAGAGCTCTTCATGGGATTTCTGTGCATGTGCTGAAACCTCAATGGCTAATAATATGCAGCACAAAGAATGTGATCCAAAGGCAAAGAAGCAAGTGGAAAATGAATGCAACATCACTGGCCTGAGACACAACTCTGTGGATACCTTTAGGATGGTAATATTCCAGGTAAAGCTCTCCACTGCTTTTTGTAGTTTTCGTTCCTTCAGACCCTCCTTGGTGCCTATGCTGTGCAAATGTTCATGGAATTCCATGGCTAAAAGAAAAAAGACAAATTATATTATTTCCCTGATCTGTAGCAATATTTACTTTTTCAAGTGTGTCTGAAACCATTCCAACCTCTAATGGAATTTCATATATGCCCATTTAAGAATGCAGTAATGCAGAGGAAACACTGAAACTCCACTGTATCAACTGACAGAAGGCATCTTAGGGGTTATGATGGTTCCTTAGAGTTTAAAAGGGTAGACAGGGTCATAGGATTATCATTACATGATCTCATTTTGAAGAGATGCTCAGCCAACTTCAGAGATGAAGGTGCCGAGGGAGCAGGATGAGGAGCTAGGGCTAGAACCCAAGTCTCTGGAATCTCATGAGGCAGATTTCAGCACTGCTGAGGACATGATGCTGGTGACTGGGGATAAAAAGGAGGTAAAATCACGTGCTTCCTATCATAGTACAGGTCAGACACCAAGCCTACTATAAAGAAGGGGACCGGATAGGAACTCTAACATCACATTTTTACAAGTAACAGACTAAGAGGATGTGCACTATGGTAATGCAGGGTAGTATGATGATCCTTTACATGTGGTCATTATAATTTATAGATTTTTACATATTCCCTTATAGTCAGTCACTGAATCTCTAGAAATGGGAACCCTTAAGCTGGTTCCCTACCTTTCAGAAATGACCAATTAGCCCTTGATACCTCCTTGCTTCCTGGCACAAGGTAATCTAGACTCACCAAGTACCTTCTCCACCTCAGACCAGGAGCTATTTCTTCAAGGAAATTATATGGGTTTGGGGTGGGAAGATCTGTTCCAAGATTACGATCTTGGCAGATCTAGGATACGTTTTCTTAAAGGAAAGATAAAATCTTACTAATATTTCTAATTAAAATTAAATTCATGGTTGTTACATGACCTTTTAAATTTTTATGCTTTTTTATCCTCCTAGGTGGAGAAATCTTAACTCCTGACCATACTAATGTGACCACTAATAGTAAGACTACTGGAGCCAACTTAAAACTCTCTTAGCACTCCACTTTCTTTTGTCTTTAGAGCATATCTTACTAAGAACTCAGGGTAAAATATTGTGTTTTAAGTCAGGAGGAATAATTTTTTAACCTATGTGGTTGTATCACTAACAAAGTACAATTAGGTTAATTTGTTGTCTGATTTTTTCATATGTATGTGCAAGTGTGCACTTCTGGGATGTAATTTGTTTAATGGAAGGTATAACAAACCTTAACAGGATTCTACACTTGAACGACGTATCAAGATTTTTTAGCTAAGTCCTACTTCCATTCTGGTCTCCTCTACCTTGATCCTTCCTCTTTCAACACTTTTAAAAATTAGTTTTAAATTTACCTTTCTATTAAACTATTTCTCTTTGCAAACACAAGCAAATGTATACAAAGATTCACATTTTTCTTTCTTGTGCAAAAGGCAGCATACTATGTCACTCTTCTCCATCTTGGTATTTTCCCTCACATAACTGCTCAGTGGCGATTACTCTTAGATCAGTGCAGACAGCCACTGCTTATCGTAACAGCTATGGAGACTCCGCTGCATAGACACACCAACATTAGGTAGCCAGACCTCTACTGACAGAGGCTAAATTGTTTCAAATAGTTTGCTATTGCAAATAATGTGCAACTGCTGTGAATTTTACAAGGCATTTTCTGCATTCTTTTATATATGTTTACTCTTTGGGCCTTCTGGTTTCTAATTCCTTTTCCGTATGACACTGTTTCAAAGCAACCCCCTACAGTGACCGACATCACTTTAACATCAAGCAAAAACAGACATGTGTGATAAAGTACAAGCTGCAGTTTAGTCTTTTTTCTTCTCTATTTTTCTCCCAACTAATAGAAGCTGTGGTCCAACTCTCTGTCATGTTAGTAAGGCCTGAGAATCTTACTGATCCCCAAACAGAACAATATTAGTAAAATTCATCCTACTGTCTAGGGAACCAGCACACTGACCACTCTCCTGTTTTCTGACTTCTCTTTTGCTAATGATGGACCCTGAACACATCCCAACTTGCCTCCACTCCAGTGTTGGTGACCCAGCCCAAATAATGGGCTGCCTCTCACAGTGCTATTCGTTCTTCCTTTCACCAAACATGGTGGGCTTAAGACTGAAGAAAACAAAAACCAAATAACAACCACGAATAGACAGTGATTATGTTTCACAACTCAAGGTTTTTGGTACCACATTAGATCTAGCCCTACCTTTTCCTCTCTTTGAATCTGGGGGGGCTCCCTGTGGTAGACTGCAATGATTCATACCCTCGGGTAGGACCCTAAGATAAGGCAGTGATGTGTTGATTCTTCTGTTAAATTTTAATACTGGACTTCTACAAGAGAACTGGATTTTACCTGAATCTTTAGTCTTCACAATGTGTCATTTTCTGCCAATCAAGAGGCACAATAGTCTCATAAATATCACTGAGACTTGGTAGACAGAATCTGTGACTGGAATATAGAAAAAGGCAGAAACACAGAAGTGGCAGGGGAGAATTCTGCGAACAATAAGAAAAAGCTCCATAGGCTGCACGGTGCAGGAGAAACTGGGAAGGGAAATGGAAGGGCTATTACCACGGGACAAGTGACTACAATTGCCCGGCCAGATGTGGGCCATTCATGACGCTTTGTTGTTTTATATTTAAAAACTGGCCCCCAAGTGTAACACAACAATAGTGGGGGATTTTTCAACCACTCAGGTATGTGTTTGGAAGCTTTATTCTGTTGGGGGTTATTTTTGCTGTCCTGCTGATCATTTCATCAGCTGCAAAGTAATGAGGCAATGACAGAACTGCGACACTGGGCTTCGTTCCAGCTAACAAGGACCTCCAGATAATGCGACACAAAGAGAATGCTGAACTTAGATTCACACACACCCAAGATTTTAAGAAAGCAGCTTTCAGAAAATTCAGAAGACAGGAACCCAGGGATAAAGGCACTAAAACAGGCTGTTTTGAGGACTGGGGTTTCAAGAAAAAACATATCTAAAATGATAAAAAATGACAGATAACGATGTAATATGGAAATACTAAAAACGAATGCAGTTGCATATATCCCTGCTATCTAAGAAGTTCATACTTTAGATCTCTATGAAAAAGAGAGTTGAAACAATCCCCTCTTAGTTTATAATCATTCTGTTACTTTTCTCTGGTTGCTGAGACAATAACACCCAAAGTTAAATAAGGGAAGGTTTATTGGGCTCACAGTTCACAGTCAGCAGGCTCCAAGACAGGGTGGCAGAGGAACAACAGTTCACAGCAGAGGAATACAGCAAAAGCAACAAGGGACCTGCTTACCAGTGTCTCTGTGCCCCTTTTATCTTACTCAGACTACAGGGAGTAAGGCGGTGCCAAACCAGTCACTCACATGGAGTGGTTTAGTGATCACACGCCCGTAATCCTAGCGTTACACACTCTAGACTCACCCACCTATGATCACATGAGGCTTTGGGGGACCTCTAGACCCAAACCACAGCACCCGTTATAATACCTGTGGTCCAATAACAATTCACAGGAAAGCAAAAAGCATATTATTAATAAAGTTTTTTTTTAATGGGCATGAAAAAGGTGATAAATTCATACTGGAAAATTATATTAAAAATATAAAACCTAATTTAAAACATGACCAAGTGACCAAGACTCTTGGTCCCACTATCATTTATGTCATTATTGGATCTACTGGCTAAACATATCTATTTCTCAGGAAAGATATCTATATTACTAACCTATAGGCCTATCTTGCAAATCCATGGGTGTGAGTTCTGCTAATCCAATGATGTAAAGCACCTGTATTGATTTGATTTTTTAAGGAAAGCAAAGGATTCTCACCTTGACCTGTATAGCAGGACTGCACCATTCCCTGGCCCCATCACAGGCAGGCAGTGTAAGGACTAAGCATGCACTGCTAAGTACAGAACGAAGGACCTGGCCAGGCACTTTCATATGCTATGCAAGAAATTCCAAAGAAATGCTGGAGATATGAATCTTTTCCTGTCTTACCCCAGTGCCCCAGCACTTTCTAACCACTAAGTATTATTTCTAGACAAAAGCATCCCAGCCCTTACTAGGACCACATTATGTGGTTATGTGAGGTAAAATGATATAAGGCCCACTTTTAGGGGAATACAGAGGTAGAGAGAATGAGATTACATATATAAACAGAATTAGTCCATACATGTAACAAGAGAAACCCAATAATATATCTAAGATGCAAATTATTCTTTTGGTACTAAATTATTGGGACATCTACTTTAACATATTAGAAGATGGAAGTCTCCTAGGGCTTTTAAATCAACAGTTAATATAAAGAACTTGTCTGGGTTAGATCTTAACTATCCTTGCCCTATTTTCCAATTATTTACAGCAAAGAATCAGCCTCAGCCCAAGGAAAAAGTCCTTATCATAATAAACAAATTAAAAGAAAGATTTCTCCTCCTTCAGTAAATCTTATTACTCTGTCCACAGAGCAGAGAGCTTTAAAGTAGCTAGTGAAAACCAGATAAGCAAAAATTTAAAAACCATGTCACACAGCCTGACCCCAAAGAAGAGTGGTTTTGTTTTAAAACTCCTTGTTCTTTAATTACAGCAAAGACAGATGTGAGAGGAGGGCGGGGTCAGCCACTGCTGGGAAGAACCCTGGCAGACAGGGAGCAGGTGTCAATCTCTGGGTGCAGATGCCCTGGAAACGGAGAGACCAGCACAGCAAAGGAGAGAATTTGCAAAGCATGTGACTGTGACAGAGGTAAAGTGCTGTGAGTATGGGGCCTCAGAAAGGATGACGGGGACAGGCTCCACCGAGAAGTCACAGAACACACCTCACCACACAACATCATCACTGGGGGTGCACGCTGAAAACCCAAGTTCTCCAGCTCTCAGGGGATTCCGGCCCGGGAGGTCTGGGGCAGGCCCAGGCACGGATGTGTTAGCAAGTGCCCCAGGAGGATTCCAAGCAAGAGGGCTAGGGATCACCCTGAGGAAAGTGGGGAGACGGAAATGAAAGATGGGAGGCCA